TAATATGCTTTGGATGCAGACTGACATGGCAGCCTGGGTTTTCCTCCTAAAAGTGAAAAAAAAGGGAATAAAAAGCATACTTTATTCCTCATGCTGCTACCTTAGACCCTTAGTTTCTTTTCATATTTGAGCTCTTTACAAAGTTTTGATCCAAACTTCCCCAAATAATTTCAAATTTCCCCTTTAAGCAGCCATTTCAAGTACTTTAACTGCACCCTTAAAGTCCTACAGGTGCTGATTGATCCTGCTCTCAACATTAAYATCACTAACTGATTTTACAACTTTTGCATGCCTTCAGGCTACAATCACTATTGCTGAGGGAAGCAAGATGACAGCAATTCTTGCTCTCCCTAAAGCTTTATTAAGCTGTCTTATCATTTAAAGTAGAGATGTTTAAAGTAGAGCTGACCATGCTGCAAGAAGGGCCCCAAAATCATTTCCTGCTCTTTGGTGGAGTTTGTACTGCTAAATGAGACTGTCTGCCACGTCTCTGAGTGGGGGCAGCCAGCTTTGACCCTAGCTTTGGCCCATATTTTAAAGCACATAGTACTAATTAAGTACTCTCAGTGTTTCACACTCAAGTTGATCGATCTTCAGCTARGAATCATAACAGATCAACAAAAGAGAACACCAAAAAATGCAAAGATTGTTTTTAATCACATCTCCTGCCTTACATACTTATGGTTTGCATTTATTGCAAATAATAATTAAGTGTAGAAAAAGGTGATGTCTCATAAAACTGATTCTGTCTACTATACATAATGCTACTGATATGATCTTTATTTGGATTGTGTATATTGCAATCCAACTGATAAAACTGTAATTTAAAGTCACRCTACAGACAGCATGTGCAAGATACATATCAGACATTGGCAATCTACTTTAAAATCGACATTTGTGGAAATCTTTTTAATATTCAGCCAACTTCCCCAGAGTGCATTCAGAATGCTCTTCTAAATTTCACTAGCTAAAGAAAAATGTATCTGCTCTGATTTAAAACACAAGGAATAATGATTTAACCAAGTGAAACAAGTCATTTTCAACTATGTAAAGACTCTTTAAGGACTGCTAAACCATTTTTTAATTTTTAAAAAAGTAACTTCTTAAACATTGTAAACAATTTTGTTATAAATCTGCCACAGTTCTGCTGACAAAGGAGATGTGCCAATTAGATGATGTAAATTGGCACCCTTTACACACACAGAGTTTAGAACACTCTCTCATGAATGCTCAAATCAAATAATTTAAAATAAGCACAATAARTGATATTCACAATTTGCTTCCCTTGTCTCCACATTGCAGACATTAATGGAATTAAGAGAATCCATGGAAGAAAAACCTCCACAGGTACTAAATACTCTGGCGGCTCATATTAGACTTTTCTTTTTTTCTTTAAAAAATGAAAATAGTGAGATCTGTCTTGAATCTGCTTTGACGCAGAGCAGCCTGAGAATTTCCTTATGTAGGTTATTGGGACCTATTTTCTTCCTATAGGGCAAGAAGAGGTCAAGCTGTAGCCTGTTTTAAGTTGTATTTGATTCTACTCCTAATTCATATGGAAATACTAACAAAGATCATTTTCAAAATAAAATTGTGCTCTAGAACCTGCAATTGCGCAGTTCTCATGAAAGTTAAACTCTCTACATTTCTATTTCATCAAGTACTTCATACAGCCAAAAAAGGAAAACATGCATTAAAGCAATGCATTAAAGTTTCTGAAAATGTCAACTATACCTTTAGGAATTTCACTAAGAATTTTTCAGTTCCTGATTCACCAATTCTGCTGATATCTCTCCTTCTTCATTCTTTTTTTTKGCTGATAATCTTATTAGGACAATTAATTATTGCACCCCTTGAAGGGAGCTTCCTCCTTAAGTATGCATTTTGTTTACCATGTTCAGCTAAACATGTTTTGGGAAACTTCAACCAGTCAGATATATGAACAAAACACATGAACACACATGAACAAATAAGCTGAGAGCTTCAGTAGACATAACTAAGTCAYAGGGGTATATACGCTATTATGGGTAAAAAATATATTATGTCAATGTCAAAAAAATTGACATACGAGAGCACAATAAACTCTACAGATGTGGTTTATTTGTTCATTTCTAGATAGACAAACATCAAGAAACTTTGCCAAGACAAAAAGTCCAAATAGACTCTTAAACTGCATTAACATATTAAAAGAACATCTGGTACAAACACTGTCAAGTTTCCACTCATTCTTAGGTAAGTATTTATGGTTTGTTTCAGCTGCATTAGGATTTTATTATTATTATTATTTTTTTTATGAACTACGCTCACAGTTCATAAATGCCCAAGGAATATGGTTAATCATGAGCAAAGTCTCAGTATAAATCTCTCACCAGCAGCACTGCTTTGCAGGGCATCTACAGGTCTCAGTCCTTGATATATGACTGTACAGTTAGTGTTTGYGAAGATAAGAAAGCAGGCTCTATACAACCTGTCGGTTACAGTTTAGTCTTGACAAATCCTCCAATCCACAGGTAAAAATTAAAACATAGAATCATATTCGAAGCAACAGTGAGAAATAAAAACATGAAACACTTCATAGAAGTATTGCAATATGTTCAACAAAGACCTGCACAAACTGGGCTGGTACTTACCGTGCTGCAAAGAGCTGGAAGAGGACAGACCACACAGCGACACGGATTCCCAGACACAACGGCCCAGAAACTCTGTGCTGTGCCTACTAAAAAGATGCACCTTTGAACCCCTACTTATAAAATACATCTCGAAGCATGAGATCACAAGGACCTGGCTGTTCTTTCTCAGTGGGATCTTAAACTTTCCATATAAAAACCRGAAGACACAAGGAGAACAGACACAAATATAGTGCTTTCATTTCACCAACTATCAAGTGTTGCTAGAGCTACAGATCAGGTCCTATCCTACCAGGACCTACCCTGGCCCACCCAGATCCGGGTGAAAGAGTCTTTCTTCAAAAAAAAAAAAAAAAAAAAAAAAAAAAAAAAAAAAGTTAGGTAAAGCAAAATTCTTTGGAAGAGAGCAAAAATTAGTTCCCGCTAAGTTCAGTAGGGTCTAAAAAAAGGCAAATAACAACCGTAAGACTGACACGAGTAAGGCGGAGTGTTTAATCTCTCCTTAGCCTGTGAAATGAGGTTTATAAGGATGCATAATATATTGACTTGATGTTATAAAAGACAACTGGAAAAAAAAAGTGCCCTGATACCACATAGTCCTGGGCATTTGTGAGGCATTGCTGAGGTCATCAGCACAGCTGTAACTATAGCTCTAAAGTATTAGGTAATCTATTTGCTGATATTAAGACTCACTTGGTGAAGAAACCTCTGTCAATCAAAAAAATGATCACCTTTTTTCTTATGTACGAGAAAGTCAGTTGGATTGTATCTTAAAACTGTTTACATCTACTTCTTACAGGCACCAASACTGCCATTATTATTAAAGAACGCTATGCTCAAAAGAGGAAGAACRCCTGATTTTGCTATAAACGCTCTGAATGAAATTTAGAACCTAATTTCATCGTGCCACTGTTGTTCGGTGTCTGTCAGACTGAGGTCAGAAGGACATTCTCATGGTATATTTCAAATCTTTAATTTTTGTCCTCACAGTACGGTTGGCAGCATCCTGCAAGGTTCCTACAGAATTAAACTGATGCTCTGCTGAGTGATTTGTTGGGCCTCACGCGCAAATACCATAATTTGCATGAACTACCTACACTTCTCAACTGCCAGCTCGGTACTTAAACGCCAGTGCACATCAATCCCAGCTTGCAGTACCCTGAGTATTACAGTCCTTGGTCTATTCCAAAGCGGAGGAAAATTCTGTACCAAAATACATGACGATCCTTGAGTRTGTAAAAAAACCTTTGCAACAGACTGAAAAGATGAGAATTTAACTGTGRAATAACTGCCAAATAAATGAAAAAGAAAGTCAAATATATAAGGGTATTAACAATTAACTATTTTGAGATCATTAAACTAATGCTGCTCAAACATGCAAAACTGACCAATATTTCATCATAAAATGATTTCAAATGGTTTATGTTGACTATAAAGTTAAAAATATTTATACTAATTATATTATTTATTTATACTGGAAACATGTTTCATTCCCAAAACATAATGAAGTATTTTGTTGGCAACCTTCAATGCTTAATACCTACCTGATATTTAGTCTGAATAAGTTTCTGAAAACATTCCTAGAGAAGCTTTTAAATTTAAGAAAATTGTCAGAGATCATATAAGCTTCAAATGAAAATATGCTGTTTATACATTTTTTATGTAATGTATTGTTATAGGTTGCATGCTTTTTCATACTATTTTAGAAAGTAAAACAAGTTATTAAAAATACAAAGTATCTTCATTGAGAAAAATGAATATTCTTGTGATTTTACTAGATCAAGTTGTGCAGAATAAAGCATACACAACATGACAGTAAAGACATAAAATTGAATGAGAAAGTCCAAATTTCTGCTTTTTCAAGAGAYACATCTATCAACACTTACTCCTGCCAGTTAGCTATGTTCTTTATGAACTTTTGAAGTAAAACACTGTTCCTGTTCATGCAGACTACCATTAGARACAGAAAAAAAAAGTGGGTTTTCAGATTCTTTAACAGAATTAACACAGATGACCTACCACATTGTTTGAATCATAGTTTGTGCTACACAGTAATTTTGACTGGGTTTTTGTTATACAAAAGGACAGTTGGTAAAGAAAAGACATACCAACTTGGCCAATGGAAAAAATAAGACATTTAATTAAAACTGAGAGTGGTACTAAGACAGAGGATGCTTCAATACTGTATTAATGTGATCAGGAAAAATGTTTGCATTCAAACATTTRGTCCATTTATCTGTGACAGCTTGCTGTTTTCATAATTGTTAAAGAATATTTAGATCCTCCCCACCCACACTTTTAGATCAGAGGGAACGACATATCCATCTCAATACTCTCTCTTACAGTTCATAAGAAATAACCAAGATTTCCTACCTTGATGGACTGACTGTAAGGTCCTATATTAGCAGGGGCCCAGTGAGAAATGCTCTGTACATGCATGACCAGTTTCTCAGCAGGCAACATGTCAGCAGCTGCAAAGTCACACTTCTGGGCAAGGCAGTCCATGCAGAACAGCACTCCATCAGGCAACAGGGTTTCTACACACACTCTGAAAGCACAAGACAATTATCTTTAATTATCTTTGTCAAACAAAGTTCGCTTGCACCAACTTCCAGCATTTATTTTCCTTTTTTTTTTTTTTTTTTTTTGATGCTATAATAACATATAACAAAGCTATAGTATCATAGTAATCAGTACTCACATGGTTTTCTCCAAATCAATTTGAGACTTCTGGCATGTTAAGTTCTCCTTGGCAACATCAATTAATATCATAGTGAATGTCCTTTTTTTTTTTTTTTTTTCTTTTTAAATCCCACCCTTCAGATTATGTCTATACCACTATTGTCTTCTTATTCCCACCCATTTGTCACTGAATGTCCTTCCACTAACTGGACTAGCAACTCAGTTTTCTGAACAGCAACTTACTGTTTCTTCACAGCTTCCTCACATGTTATAATGCAAAATGATTATATTTTTCTACTATATATTAGGTGGTATGACACGCACACATATATGACAGAACTGAAACCCTATTTAAGCACTCGAAGTTCACTTTTGTTTGCTCCAAAGAAGATTGTATATGGCTAGACGGACACACAGGCAGCCTGTTGCATCTGCCCAGTGAAAAAGCAGTAGGAAAMAAAATGGACATTTCTAAGCCTGAAAAATAATTACATTTGCAGTCCATGCATTAAAAAGTCATTTAGCTCCCAGCAGGAAACTAACAGAAAATTATTTCTTCTATTTACATAGCATATAACACAATCTTACAAAATTCTTCTTGTTTCTTCCAAGAAAACTACCTTTCTCTCCTCTTGTCCTATGCAAATAAAGTATTTTTTCCTCATTACCATCATCATAAGGATGGGTGAGTACATTTTCTGCTTGGGCTGGTAAATTTTCAAGACAATTTTGCAAATTTAGTGCAGATCCACACCCCTGAGTCTGTGCTTCCAGCATATTACTTGTGAGAACTCCCACAGCCAGGTCTCTGTGCATAATGCAATTATGCAGCCATGCAAACTGCCGCATAATTTTTCTTTTGGCCAAAATGCAGCATAAATCTGTTTGTTCCACATAAATAATCATAAAAAGCCATTTTCCTGCAGCCTCCTAATCTTTCTAGCTGCTATTTTATGACCTTTCCAAGAAGTGATGAAAGACTCTGTGGCCAGCTATGCAAATGCGGACGCTTAAGACATGCAGCAACATGAGAAGGAAAGGAAGCTAAATTGAAGAAGGGTTTCAGAAGACTTAAGATACAAAAGACTAGATATTCATTTTTTGTGTATTTCGTAGCTGGGAATAGATGTGTGCTCTTAACACACACAAACCCAGCTGCCCCTCTGCGGGTTAGTAAACCTGCCCTGCAGTTAGCATCTCAAAGCAGCCTCTTCTGGCTCTCTTCTTTAGCCTCCTCTGACATCCAGGTTACTGGGGATAGTTAGGAGAATGTGACTATCATGGCATGTGTTATATTAACAAGATTTTTTAATTATAATCACATTGTACTTAGAAGTCCACGACTAAACTTCATATTCTGTAACAAAAATAAGATACATATATTTGATGCTACAAAAATTGCCAAATTAAAAGACAATCCCCTCCCATTTTATTAGAATYAACTTGAATTGCAATAAACAGAGTGACAGAAAGAACAACTTGTCATGGCAATATTAAACACAGAAACAATACAGCATTTGCCGTATTATCTTGAACCAATAAGAGAGCTTTTCTTAGCACTTTTTCTTACCACCCAAATACCATCCTAAATTTTATTATTTAAAATGAATCTTTTCACAATTAGAAAGCACTTTCTCATACTGTAAAAAGGTGTCTTATCTAAAATAAATAAGTATTTCTATTTTACATGATAATTTGTATCGTATAAGCCATATAAACTTTTAAGAAAGTAAAACTTTCCTAAAAAAAGTGACATTCTTGAATGGCTGCATTTTGTATAAAATACAGAAAATATAGAAGCATTGATCTTATAAATTATGAGACAGGGCATTAATAAAGATCCATGAAAACTTAAGGAAATTATTCAAAGCAGTGAGTTCTACACAGAATATCTTACTAATAATTTTACTAGTAATTGTAAGTGAAACATATGCCATGAGCCTGAATAAAGAATAAAAACTTTTCAGCTGAACAACAGGGAAAAGTGTCTGATTCATTTTAAGGTAATTTATGTAACGCTAAATTGACAAAACAAAACATTTTAGAGAACATAATAGACTAATGTTTTAATTAATCATCTTGATAATTTCTTTTCTTCTTCACAGTAATGGGACCAAGTGCAACAGTGCTACCAACTCTGGTGCAGCTGGTACTGACTCCAACTTCTCTGTGCCATGTTTCACTGCCTGGTGTAAACAGCTAACGTGCCTGAAGTCATAGTTCAGTGAAGATTAACAACAGTCTACAGATCTTTGAAGGGGAAGAAATGAGTAGAGTAGTTCAGCCAGCCATAAGCAGGCAAGTTGGAATGCATTCAAAATAGAAAACGTAGGCTGAGAATCAGGAAAAGTTGAGTTTCAGATGCACACCCAAGGAATGGACAAGATGCTGCTTTGGTAGAAAACACAGGTCTGCAAGCCTAGCAGAAGTTTTTATACAGAAAGGTAATTGGCAGACTAGTAATACAGAAGCAAGGCAAAAACAGGCAAAAAAAGCCCTAAACCCTCAAACCACAGGACAGACACTTGCAAAATTTTATTACTGCTAATTATACTGCTATAAGGGCATATACAGGAGGCATACATAAAGCTTCACAGAAAATACTAAGATAAGACTCTCCAAACTCCATCTCCATTTTGAGATCCCAAAGGCAGTAAAAGTATATTTCTAAGTCTGAGACRCACACAAATTTCTATAAAAGCTTCATAAGTATGGTACCAATAATACAGGATATTACCATGCATCATAGACAAACTAGAGCAATAGTCTAATCCTACCTTGCTGGTGGACACAAATCAAATTCTGTCACATATGCTGAATTTATAGCAGCAAAATCATTCATGTTCTTCATATACAGATGTACCAAAATAATATCTTTCAACCTAAATCCCGCTGAAGTCATATTAGCTGCAAGATAAAAATAATACAGCTGTAAAAAATAGAATATTCTAAATGTGTAGAAAGAAAGCAGAGGCATCTTGTGTTTCTTCAACAAAAGCAAATGATAATAAACCAACACTTGTCTATATATGACATGCTACCTATCCCCTCATAATATTATTTTTTTCATGAAATTTTTTCAAGTTGATTTTCCAATTATATAGGGAATATAATTTTAATCTACATTCAATAGAAACGAAATTTTGCTTTGACATATCCTGCATTAGTGCACACACACATACATGTATGCATAAATATATACATATATGTATATAAATATGCATGTGGTAGTCCACATTTCTTGTATCCATATTTTATCTWGTTTTTTTTTTCCTCTTTTCAGCCTATGACAGCTAGTTCTATAAAGCACTTTGAATTCCAAAAGTACAAAACTGGGAGGAGACTGTAAGACATCATTTAATCCATCACCCTCTTCAAAGACAAGACCAAGCATTTATATGCTATTCCATAGTATTGACCATCGTTTTTTTTTTATTAAATCTTACTGTTATAAACTCTATACAAASAGAAAGTTATAAATGGCTAAAAAAGGCAGAAGGAAACAGGAGTGGACATGATAGAAATGAGTGAAAAATGATAGCAGAGAAAGAATGCCCAAGTAAAGAGTTTGGAAAGTCAGGATTACTTGAATACGTACAAAGAGAAGATTCGAGCAATAGCACCTAAAGCTACAAAAGACAACATCAATATTGCCTACAGCAGGCTGCTGACGAGACTAAATTTTCATGTTGTAAAAACCTATTATTCTCTTAAAGTTTATTGAGCTTTGCCAAGGTGCAACTGCACTGGAGCTGTTCCCCGTTAACCACTGCAGTCTTTGTCATCTCCCAATCACCAAAAAAAAAAAAAAAAAAAAAATTAAATTGTTTACACTTATTTTCCTAAGCTATGTACTGAATATTTCCTTTCTTCTGGTCTTGATTTTATGGAAGAAATCTACTTTACAGAGGAACTTCATATGGTCCAGAAATAGATTTCCATTTCTGGAACCTTCTGGCAACACTCACCTCTCTAGAGGACATTAAATCAATTAACCCTGCAAAGAAAAGGTTAAAAGGAATGTGCCTATTTCTTTCTCATATCATAAAATACCAAACTCCTATACACACTTTAAATATAAGCTGAGGAAAAGCCTTACACATATTTGCAGATCAGTCAAGTTCTCAGAAGAAAAGAAAGGCAAAAGCAGCATGTTGTGTTGCTTTCATATGTTGCGACCATAATTTATTCAGTTTTCTACACTTTCCACCAGAAGGGTAAAAAACACAACCAAGGATGATAAAAGTGACATTTTTTTCCTGAATTAGGATACAACACAAGCTATTGCAAGTGATTTGCTGAAAGCAATAGGCTACAGAACTAGTCAGAGATGCAATTAGTCTTYTTCCTCTTCTTTTCTGATGGATGTTAATGCAAAATATATAACATTTGTACTAGTAGATTTTCATACAAATAAAATGAGAACCAAACAAAATGTTACAGAATTCTTTTGCTTCAATTTACAGATTATGCCCAGAAGATTTACACTAAATATTGCTGCCCTTCACTAAAAGCTTGATTACATCCACCTTTCTGATTTTCAAGCTATTAAAGTTTAGCTTAAGGGCATTTTACAAAGTATGACTTCCTTGCTTCCTAAAAATTGCTAGGGTTTCTTTATCATTTTATATTCAGTCATGAACTCAGCTGCACAAGCCAAACAACAAAGATTTTATGGGACAATACATCATGGGAATTCGTGCACAAGAGTACGAGTCTGCCCATTCAGATACCAAGAATTATTTCCATTTTTATGAATGAAAAAGCCTGCATAAACATGCTTTATTTGAAGTTTAAAATGAAGAAAGATGTGAAACAAAATGTGAACATTTTGTTTTATATGTCAATATCTTGTAAGAGGAGGATAGTAACAAATCTGGATTCTGTGATTCCCAAGATAGCAGTTTCTCCTTTACATTAAGTATATAACTGAGATTTACTGCCACTGACCTAATCCTGAATGCCAAAATGTGCAATGGCAACAGCTTTCTAGAAAACTTAGTTTTAAATTATGGTAGCTGCAACAGTGCTTTAGCAAGGAGACAATACCCATAGCACACGTGCACACTCACACACACAGTATTTATTAAAAGAAAGTTAAAAACAAAAATAATGTGAAAATAGTGTTGCGACACTGAAACAAACACAACTCTGGCTCTGAGGGTCTTCAAGAAGGAGGTGAATTACAATGTGTTCAATATTAAAGATGATCTCAGCTGAAGACAAACAAGAAACCACATTTAAAATTGTAAGAACATATGAACATATGAATACAGATTCCTACTAAAATACTGTAAACAAAACCACCTCTAATAAAACAGGTAATAGGAAACTGAATAAACACCTTGGAGAGAATAAAATGTTTCCTTTGCTGCATCTTGAACACTTTTGTCTTCTGATGGAAGAAAATGGGCAGTGAAACCTGAAAACCATTGGTAACCACGCTGGGATTTTCCTGAAGTTCCAAATGTCTTAGCTATGGGAAGGGAAGGACAGCAGTATGATTAAAATGATGAAAATTACCTGCTAAGGAATAACAACAAAGAAAGAAAATAACAACTAAGAAATAATAACAACAAAGCTACCAAACATCATTTCAGAAATCCTCCTCCAAATCTGCCTTCTGAGTGTCTTTAGTTGATGATTTCAGTAATTTTTTCTCCTCCTCTGTTTTGCTGACTTTTTTAGTTTCTCTTAATTATGCTGACACAGAAGTGGCATTGAAAAGCAAAAATTTCAAAGCACCTAATTGACACTSGAACAGATTTTCAAGAAAGTCGGATGACTTAACTAAATCTACTAAGGCTTTTTTTTTATTTTATTTTTTAACATTCCACCAGGCATCCGTCTAAATTCAAGTGTCTAAAGACTACTCAGTATTAAACACCATGATCTAATGAAACTGGATTTTCAGGAAAAGTTCAGTGATCTCTGGGTTTAAAGCCACGGTGCTGTTGCAGTATTTTAATGAGATACCACCCTATGAACCCAGKTTTATCTTGTATTAATCGTTCGCATTTGAGGCAAAGATAATAGCARGCTTAGAATTAGCTACTGCAGGTCATCTAAAAGACAGTAACTTGCTAGGAAGATAAACTTGATCATGCATGTGGCCCTAAGACTGTTTCTTTAAATGAGACAGGCCTATAGAGGAGAAAAGCAAGTTGGAGATGTGTTTAATATTGCATTTGCCATTTTACTTTTCTATTTTTAATTTGAAAACTGTAGAGTTAGGGTACAGGTGTGATATAGTATGATCTTAAAAATAATCTATCCTAATGAATGGCTGTATTACAGTAAATCTGGAGTATTTTCTAATAAAATAAAGATTGGTTAACCTCCTGAAAAAGCATTGGAAATATTCCATTACTGCAAGTATATAAATATATAAAACCGAGTTGTATAAGGATATCTTTATCTTCGGACTGGCTACTAAATGTCACAGACATTCTTCTAAGGAAYGTTCTTACAAGACCTTACATCGTATTCCCTCAGAAATTAATAATTTTACTTTTATAATGACTGAGTTGTGCAAGACTCACTGAAATCCAGAGAATTGTGCTTCATGCTAGACTTCCAGGTGACAGGAAGGATTTTCTGTGGTTCATCCTCTTCTGATGAAGGTAAAATATTGACATCATTGCAGCTTAGCTCACAAGAACAGCTACTGACCATCAGTGTCTCTGAAGATTCTTCCTGTTTAACAAATATTACATAATAAGCACCCAAACACCATGGCAAACAGTATTATTTAAATCAAACATCATTTAAGTGTTCTTGAATTTTGATWTGGAAATTTTGCAGCTCGATACATAATCTTAGAAGAAGCCACTGAAGAACAGTAATTGGATTCCCAACTACTTAGTCTGCAAACCAGTAGAATACAACTTGTGTTGACACCAAATGGAATCAAAGTGCAGATGTGGCAGCACATGAGAACAATAGGTATGAGAATCAGAGACCAAAAAGAGAGGCAGAAAGAACTGTAYGATAAAAACCTATTTTCTATTTCTATTCAAAAACTGATTCTTAAGAGATAGAAGTCACTTTAAAGTTTTCTTTGCCTTTATCTCATAAAAAGCCTATCCATTTGCATCAAACTCACCGCATTCTGGGATTCTCAGAATTCTGAAAAATGCAGAAGAGCACTTCCCGAGGAAGAAATTCACGGTAGCTTTTTGACCTACATTGTTTAAAGTACTAGAAAAGAAAATAAYTCATTGTGCCTTCTTTTTAAATGTGTTCTTGGGCCCAGTAAGAGAAAGCCACTTGGCAGTCCTTCTACCCCAAGAAGCAGAGTCAGAGCTTGTGCTGGACAGACTTCTGAAATGTTGTGCTTGTCACGTGTTCACAAGTCATGTAAACACAGCAGGGATGTTTACTTCCCTCCCTGCCCCCCCTTATTAAAGGAACTATCAGAACCGCAACTCTCTGCCATCTGATTTCCCAAGACAGCCTAATCTGCACAGCATGTTGATTTGGGGATCATTAGCTTGGCTAATGCTACTTGTCTTCATCTAAAAGCAATATGAATTATGTCAGAATTTCCCCATAAACGTTAAACAAACATCACTGCATGCTGTACCTCCAGATCCTGTCAGTTAATTTGCTGCTCAAAACTCTTAAGTTTCATAGTGTGCAATRTATGTATTTTTTTGGAGCTTGCTTAAATGCTATATTCACAAAATACTGATAAAGATGAAAAAAGATAAAAATGGGACAAAATATAAACATTTCCAGGAATCCTTAAGGATGAATTAGACATTGTTGAATATCCATGGAATGTAATACAAAAAAAACCTATGAAATAGGGTATTAATATTAGATATTGAAGCACTCAAGTTCACAAACTAAGTAAAAACTCCTGAAGCTTGACCCTCTGCMTTTTCTGCTTTTTAAAAGACAGATATGATCAAATAGGCAGATAGATATACTAAAAATTACTAAATAACTTTTAATACGTAATGTTTCATAAGAAAAGTCAACTGTATGTTAGGAATTTTTTTTTCAGACAGAAAAAGAAATCTCACTGCAACTTTAAAAATTCTCTCTAGATCTTCAGTAAAAACAAGCCTCYTCACCAAACCTCGAGAAAATATTACATGCATCAGAAATCTGCACTGAGAACTCAACGTTTACATAAATGTCTGACTTCACTAGAAAGAAAAAGCATGCAGTTAAGTGAAAGCAGTGTGTTTGGAAACTCTCAGGAAAGGCTAAATTACAAAAAGGTCATTACCTATGAGAGGAAACTCAGCTCTGCTGCCTCTAAAAGGACTCAAGGGGAGTTTTATAAGAGCTGTAAACACTAAAGCTATGCTCTAAGAGGGCCTGATATTCTTTGATTGGACCTCATTTTATTCATTCCTCCTAGGAAAGCTCAAAAGTCAAGGCAATAATCTACTTTATGTGAATCAATTGTACATGAGAGGTTAAAACAAGTCAACTAAACATAACATAACAGCACAAAGACGAAGACTGCAAYTTAGCACAAACACTACATGTGCATTCCAAACTCTACAATATACTGGCATCCAGCAGCATCTTTTCCTACTCATCAAATTACACCTACAACTGTTGTCAATTGATATATTTTGCTGTTACCCAGAGGGCTGGCTGAAAGTCCCTGTCCCCACAGGTACAACTAGAGAAATAGAGAAGCAGGAATATAAGTCTGTCATTGAAATAAGTCTCCAGGTGCATCATGCCTCAAGAATCAAGATGAGGAGCATAAGGAAAGTTTCACAAGATGCTCCCTTATAGGAGCATAGAGGCTGTGCAGTGCAATGCAGTGCTAGTAGTCTTCCTACTTCCTTCTTGCAAATCATTSTTTTATTAAGCTACAAATGTTTTCACTGGCTATTTCATAACATTCATCAAGAAACTGAGGATTAGCATTGGAACACGTGCATTCTTGTGGACATTCAGCAGGTCCTGCTGTCACACACCAACATTAGAGAGCCTGCATCATTTACTGTGTATGCATGTATACACATTACACTTGGAAAGACAGTATCACTCCGCTGCCTTTAGCTTGTTTATTAAACTACCTGGATTGAAACATCACTATGAGATAACCATCATTAGACAAAGAAATCACGTTAACTAGGAAAGGARAAGTTTGAACTTGTCAGCATGATGGCCTCTCTGCTTCTTTCAGCACGTTGTTCAGCTTTACATTACTGCCTTTCAAGACAACTGCAGACACATAAGTACTGTGTGACAACTAATAAGGAGTAGCAACATCTCTCCTTTAGCTAATCTGAAATATTAAATTTATAATGCTATATAACAGATGTGAAAACAGCACCAATCCCAATCTTCTGCCATGTGTAGACTGTTCCTTTAAATACATTTCTAAACTCTTTTTTTGCAAAGTATGCTTCATTAAAAAAAATGGGGATATAGTACAACATACAGACTGTATTGTTGCTGACCTGCTCTGAGACTGGCAGAACTCCCCTGTAGCTTTGTAACAYTACAAACATGCAAGCTTTATGCCATGTGAAATTTTCATACAATTCACTTGAAGTCCCCCTTTTTCCTAAAAATATTAAAATGTTAATATTCTACATATATGCAAGCTTACATCAAAATTGTTTCACAGATTTTCACAGAAAAATTACACATATTTGTATATACACAAATAGCTGCTCATCTGCAAAATCTTTTGAAATTACTAGAAAAGAAGTAGAAATTCTGTGATATCTCTGATGCACATGGAAGACTATGCAAAGAACTAGAGCCTCCTGTTCATTCCAACGGCTGCGAAACACCACAGAGATCCATTCAAGGCTGAATCCCACAATGCTCCAAACCCACGGATAATCCATCACTTTCCACAGCAGCACAGGTGCAGGCTGCAGCAGAAGAATCAGGTGTGGAACCTGGCACTGAGAGAGCAACAGGCTCAACGCCAATATAAGCAGAGCTGCCAGGCTCTGTTTAGTAGCTATATTCAAACCTTACACAAACACCGGCCTCTCAATTCTGTACATGATGAAAATACCTAAAATTTTACATTTAAAAGGTACAGGCCATCACCACAAAGAGACTAACTTTCCCATAACAACTTTCTACCCTGTTTAAAAAAAAAGACCAAGCTTGCTGTAATGATATTTTAATTAAATTTTTGCAGAGAACATAACTTTTCCATCATCCTTTACAGCAGCAATCTACCTTCCCATTTGTTATACTRTGGCTCCCACAACTACTGTGCATTGGGATATTAACCTAATTTTGGATGAGAGCCTGCATGCATTCATATGCTTAACTGCATTCACCTCATTTTGCTGAAGTGAGTGTGCCTGGAATAAGAGTTAAGCAAATGCATGGGTGTTCCAAGATCCAAATGGGCTTGTTGGAAAAGCCCTGCAGCAACAAGTTTGGCTGGSAGAACTGGAATTCCACAGATTCCCTTCTTAAAGCACCTAAATGCTCTACAGAAACRGTTATAAAAACCTGTTCCAACAAAATTCCTAAACTGATACTTCTCCCACTGAACAGCAATGGGAATATTCTAGGAGACAGCTTACAAAACATTTCTGTAATGAAAGATGATGATAGAATCTCTTTATTCCTTGCAGTCTGCCTTCAAAATAACGAAGGTGACTACATGCATCTCCCTGCAGTATCAAGTACTGGATACAGACTTATAGGAAAATCATTTAGTTAAAAGACCTCCTTTATCTAAGAATAGATGAAAAATAATCTCTATCCTCTAAGAACTGGACTAAATATTGCAACAAAATGAAGCAGAAAAGATTAAAATCCCTTATCTATTGTCTTAACATTTGAAAAAGAAAGAGTTGACAATGAAAATAATTTTACCCTACTTCAATATGTTTTCAAAATACTGTAAATTATCTTTAAGTGCCACCTGTACTCTTATTAGGTAGAAGGAAACTAAGGTTCAGCTGGAAGAATTACCATGCAAAAAAGGCACTTACAAGAAATTTCCCAAGTGGACCGCTTAAAAAATAGGAAGTGGCGCATTTTGCCATATAAGATCCTCCCATTACACTTGAAAATGACAGTTAAATACTGTGGCTAAAGCTCAAAATACACTTAAAATACATGGAAAAATAAATATGAAGCTCTTTTTTCAGCATTTACATTAATTCATAGTGCTAGAAATGAAAAATGTGATAAAATGGAGATTAGTAAAAGTAATTCATGGCAAAAAACCAGAAGCGGTTATAAAGTCAAATCAAATCTAACATGCAGGATAATGCTCCTTTGGTATACAAGGCATGCAAACATTTGCCAGACCCCTTTTTCTAACACTTAGAGACAATTGTAAAATCATCCTCAAATTAACTTGAGACAGATTTGCTGGCCTTTTCCAGGGACAGAACAGTTTGCACTTATACATATGCCCTGCCTGAGGATTTCAAGTTATTTCATAAACAGGAAAAGATGTAAGCCTCACAACATAAATAGGTGGTGGGCAAATATAATGCAAAAAGTATGTGATAAGAAAAAAACAGTAATGGAATAGAGGAGCTTTTGTTTCTTAACAGGCAGCCAGGCTACTTTTCTGCATCCTCTTGCCAAGCACAGGTAGGAAACTACCTCACTCCCTCTAAATCTGGACTGGCTTAAGGGTCTGTAGTTTGGAGTCTGTGCTGCTTGATGTAGCTGTGTTCTCAACTCACTCGGACTGAGGAGGAAAAAATTCAGTAATCACTGAAAATCTGAGAAAAAGCACATCTTAAAACATGAATGCTAGTTAATGCAATGCATCAGAAACCATGAATGTCATCAGACTCCATTGGAAGGATGTCATCAGAAAGAAAATCACAAAAAGAGTCATCACATCAGCAGAAACTCCAACAACTTCTATTTCTTTCTGATAATTCATAAGCCAACATAGCTTAACATAACACACCAGCAAAATTTGTGGTCTCAAGGTGTTCCACTTTTAATTAACTGCAGGTTTAATTAATTGAAAACATTCAAAAACCTTGAAAACTAAAGCTGATACATCTGAGTGAAAAACATTGGAAAATATTTCAGAAATTGTCTCTCTTGGGAGCCAGGGCCAGAGCTGAATTCAAAGCTACACTTTGTCACACTCTCTTAAATAAGCAAAGTCTGGCTCTTACAAATAAGGTACAGGACTGATGAAGCTAGATAGATATCTGTATTATGTACTGAGCAACAATGACTATTTTTTACATTGAAGTAAATGAGGCCTCCATGAATAAGCACTCTGTGAAATGTCTGTGGAAAAAAGTTATCCTTAGTTGTTTTTATGAAACTTAATAATATTTTAATATTAATATATTACACATAATTATCTCCTTAGCCTTTTCTCCTTTACTGGTAATAAAAGAGGGTGAGAAGAAAAAACCSTTCAATTATTATGCAAAACTATGTCTTGAAGTTGCACAGTAATGTATAAAACCAGAACAGTGAGTAAAATGTTGTGCTCCCCTAGGCATAAAGGCTCATTGTGCTGCCAGAAACAATCTAAAACAAATTTCTCTCCAAGCTTTGTAGTTAAACGGGAAGAGGTTTAGCTTAAGAAAAAAAGAAAAACAAAAAAAGGGAGAAAAGACAGCAGAGACTGAGGCATGCTAGACATAATTGCACAAGTAAATTCAAAGAATGTACAATTAACACCTGTGGCACATAAATAACAAAACGCAGAGGTTAAAAATAACTAAAATATAGTCTATTAATGGTTTCTACAAATAAGCTACTTTCATTAATTTCTCATAATGTAGTATTTCTTGCACAATTTTCAGAAATCTTTTGAATGGCTGAAACTTAAATTAGTTCTTCTAAAACAGAATTTTGTTATTTTTGTTATACCTACAGTGATTACTGCAGGACTGTCTTTGAGTGGTGAATTACTAATTAATGATACTTTTTTTTTTTTTTTTTTTTTTACTCCAAGAGGTTTGTGAACAACAAAAAGCAGGGAAATGTACAGGCATAGCAATTTGGATGGCATTTCTAACATTGTGCAATTAAACTATGCTAACTTAGTAACATGTTATGCTCTGACAGATTGACTGGTTCTCTATATTCATTGCTTCTTGAAGACGTAGCTTATTTTACCATGACAAAATAATCTACAGCCAAAAGATTCTAATGCATTTCCTCCTGAGACAACTACCGCAGAACACAAACTATTTTCCTTTTTTACTATAGAAGGCATTAGTTTATATACTAAAATCCAGGCCATGTCGCTGTAAAGCTTACCCTCTTTGAGGATATGACAGCTTTATCTACAATGAATTTGAAATATGATTTGCTATAACACTGCTTGAAAGTGTGAGGCTTTAACCAAATCTAAAACATCTACATAAGAAGGGGAAAAGAGCTTCTGAACAGATAAAAGTAAAATCTTGATTCTCATATAAAGTGTTATGCATTTTAATACAACTTTTTTGCCTGATTTATGTAAAGCTTTGTGTTTTTCATTTTCGTTAGCCTGTCACATTGTAGTGATGCATGGTACATTTTAGCATCAAGTTTGCCATGAGCAATAAAGTCACTGCCCCCAAAGGAATATTATCACCTTCGTCCCCTCCGATTTTCTTTCATTCAGCCTATTTGGTTTCACTTCACATAGTTGGCTGACATCACTTTCAGTTTCCCACACAACTATTTAATTTTTCACATAAAAACTGCCCCTAAACTAGAACTTGGTAAGATGAAATAGGATGGATTATATTTTCCAAAGCAATGAATAATGGAAGAAAAATTTTATCTATTTGTAAAGATAGAATTAAAAAAAGAAAACAAAATGAATTATCAAAAATTACAGAAAACGAAGTAATTCAAGAGAATAAGAAATGGAAGAGACAACCATAACGTTATTGTAACCACCCTGCGCGTAGTYATCTTCAAAGTCTAGAAACAAGAAGGCCTATACAAATATATGACTGCAGCAGTTAGCCACAAGATCATGAGGCACTTTMTCCAAGCAGCATTTAAAGATCATATCTGACATAAAGCAAGCTAGCGAGGAAATTTCCAAATCTTTGGCTTTATGATTTTATCTGCATTTTATCATTACTTTGATAATCAAGCAGAGCAATTTAGTTCAAGAAAGCTCTAATTCACTAGAGAATTTTTATTTATTGTCCTCATAATCTTCCAAGGGCCTATACATGCCAAAATAATAATATGAATGTCATGATGCAGTAGATTAAAAGAGTCATTATGCAAGAGTATCTTTCATAGAGAAAAGTCACACCACAAAACCAGTGTGTCCAAGTGTAGTATCAGCAGGTGGATCAGCAGGATTTTAAACTAACCACTTGTCAGGAGAATCAGAAGAGAGGGGCCTCTCCCCTCCCAGCAGCGCAGCCCCTGGCACCACCGAATGTGCTCGGCGGAGCAGCSGCTGCCCGGAGCTGCAGGTTGCAGGATGAAAGTGCCAGGCAAATGTACGACCTCCTTTCATTCATCTGACACAAGGAAGCATTTGTGTCGAGACTTTCCTGATGGCAACTTCTGCTAAACACATACAGGGGTATTTCTAAGGATAGATGAGAATATCCAGCTGAATTTCAAACTGAAAAAGCAACAAAAGAGTTGCACACAGCTTCACAGAAGAGTGCACACAGCTTCACTATTAATAGAATAAGAAATTTGGAGTCTACTTGCCTTATTCTCCAAGTGTAATTTTAAAAAACGAAGGTAAGCCACAGGTGCAAATGCATCAGCTGAATGTAAAACCACCTCCGAAGAATCCCTGAAATACAATGCTGTTAATACGATSTTTTAACGTATATTTCTTTATACAATTATTTGTCACAGTACAACAAAAGTCTCCAATGTAACACATTGATAATCTACTAGTTATTTTTTCCCCTTTTACATCAACTAAGAAAAGTTTGCCATATAGTGGGTTGTTTAACAACATGATTTTACYTTCACTAACTTTAAATCTTTACAAAAGGATAAACTACACTTCCAGACCACCACCGAGCCATTTAGCTACCTGTAGCCTACGCAAGCATAAATGGTATTATGCTTTAAGATCTAAAAACTTAAAAGCAAAACAATTTTTAATTTCATCAAGAGAAGATTTTTTAGAAGTTCATTCTTCTGATTAATGCTCCAGAAATTAGTTCTTAAGAGCATTAACACCATACAGTATTTCATGCTGAGAATTTGATTTGACCATCTTGCATCTGATACTGAAAACAAATTCTTAATGCCAAATGTGTTGGTAACAATGATAAACTTCCAGTGTGCTGATTTAAATTAGTTAGTTTTCATTTTTACAGACACAGTCTGTCACACTTTGATTCACAAGAGGCGGTATCTGTTATATCCATCTGCATGGTTTCACTGCTTAAGAAAAAGGTAGCTCTAAGAAGCAAACATCAGAAGGTGAGAAACTAAAAGCCTCAAAAGAAAACATAAGCAAAACTCAGTCACAATATATAAAAAAGAAAGAAGAAAAAAGAAAATCTGAGAATTATTCTAAGGCTAAGGACATACTGATTTTTTTAAACCACAATGCCTTTGAGGCCTTCACAGTATTTAAAGGGATCTGACAGGCTTGAGAATTCCAAAAAAGATTTCTAGTTAATGCTACATAATGAAACAGCAAACTAGAAATGGTTGAAGTCTTAAGCCAGCTTCCACCGAATTAATGAAAGAGTATAATTAAGAGAAATTAAAGATCTTGTTTAGAAACACAAAAATCCACACACACACCCACATAAAGAACAACAATAAAAAAAGCCTCCCAAGATGATGTTACACGATAATGACAAACACCTTCGGCAAATGAAGGTATTCACCTCCCTTTTAATAAGCTTTAAAAGTAATCTTTTGATAATTAAGTCTTTATTATTTAGMTTCTTTAAGATTAAAATATTAACTACTCATTTAAGATTCCTTAAAGATATACATCTTTAAGTTTRAAAATAATTCCCTTTAAGTTACCAGTTTATCTTTTAAATCTAACCAGAAGAAATCTTTAACAGTAATAGGAAATAGATATCATAAGAATTAAATCCTAAGACTGTCTGAGGAAAAAAGCCTGCAAATTATTCTGTCTATAAATAAAATTTTAATCAGAAAAGTAGATGTTAAATAGCATTCACAGAGAACAGAGCTATGACTTTATGATCTGCAGAGACATTAATCAATGACCATTATAAAAACCCATTTGAGAGAGACTGAAAGTGCTTGGCACCTCTCTATTACTGAGCATAAGAAAGCTGACAGCTGATTAGAACCGATTACTAGGGAAAGTCATATAAAACCAGTCTCTTGACTCTTGCCTAAGTATTTTGGTTGCAAGATCCTCCTTCACTCATAAATCTTGTTTATTTTCAAATATTTCACTCTATATTTCACTCTTAAAAGTCTTGAGCAAAAAAGTCACACTTCAACTTCTCCATAATAAGCAAYATCAAGGTTAAGTTTTGGTTTTCCAGGTCTAGAAGTCTTCCCCCCTCCCAGCCCTTATCTGTCCGCAGAAGAAACATTATGGAAACACATTTTATTAGAAGCTTCAAATGATAAAAGCATACACACAATATCATCCAAAAGTCTATATACAAATGATAGGCAAGTTAGCTTTTTCTCTAACAAAACTAGATTTCCTCCTGTCACCTGCACCCTTGTTTCATACAGCTCCACAGCTGCATTTCTTTCCCTCCCCCCCATACTGTTACAGGATAACTTGAATGTGAGCATGTGTTAACACGTGGCACTCTAAAAGCTTTAAGATGTACAGGGCTTTCTCCAATTCTGCCACCAATCTGCAGTTTCGGGAAGGCCCTGACATTCTTCTGGGATGTTGAAATGCAGTTTTATTATTGAATGTGTTCAAGTAAAGAAGTATTTAAATTTCTTCATTTTAAAATTTATTAAATCTCCCCCTTTTTTTTTTTAATAGGAAAAAATCATCCTCAACATCTTCCACTAAAATTTCCCCTAAGGAAAATATGGATGGATTTTCGTGTATAGGAATTCAGGGACCTTGAAATTCCAGACAGGTTTTATCCTGTTAATATTAACTTTTACATTTTAGTTTCAAAAAAAGTCATAAAGTACCACAATCATGACTGCCTAAACATTTGGAAACTGTTCTAGCCCAGCTGAAAAAATGGCTAGTCTTTATGAACTCTACATGTAATCACAAAAATGATTGACTAAAAATAAACTTGTGTCTTTTTAACAAAAAATCTACAATGATTTTAATTGTAAAAACTCATAACAAAAGGCATGACTTYGTGACAATGGAGGGCAAGAACTAAGCAGGGCTATTCAGGCCAAAGAAACATGATGCTGGTGTAGCTATTCCGTGCTCATTACACAAGTGCGTGTTGAGAACTGTAACTCAGTTTAATAGTCTCCTGTGCCAAATATTTGTTATTAAACATCCATTGATTCACAGCCACATCTTTGTTGTGAATGTCTTGTTAACAATAGTTGGATCTGACTGATTTAATATGAATTTTCAATTACCCTGTGTCATTCTATAAATGTTGTTTGCAATACCACAACCTTCCGATTTTGCAAAGCAGGTGGAAATAGAGCTTCTGTCCGTTTCTAGCTTGTCTATTGCTCTTACTTTCCCAAGGTCATGCAAAGAAATGAAGTTCAGCAGCTACAATTCTTCTGCTCCTTACATGGACAGTATTATACAAATAAGAAACAAATGCACCTTCAACATCAAAGCCTTAATCGTGTCCATATACTGCATAATCTTGACCTTCCCTAAGATGATTAAACATCACCAAGGCATGATTATTACAGTCTGTTTACTTGGCTAAGAATAGGATCTGCAGTCAAAACATCTCAGTCAAAGCATGCAGGCTAAGCTATTTAACAGATCATACTGAGCAACTTGCATCAAGACACAAACATTTTCCATATCCTGCTACACAGATTTTAGCAATTTATGTCAAAGCAATAAGCTACTCAGTGTAAATTAGATGGATTCATGCAAAGTTTGCATTTAAAATATCCTCTAATAACTGAAGAAAAATGTTTAGGACCATCATTCTGGGCTGCTAAACTTAAAACACGCACACACAGAGTTAATGGAACCCACAGGCTACTGATGTGGCAGTTTATCAAATGTAGCTGTAATGAAAGATAAATATTATAGGCAATTCGCACTTCATGAAAGGATAAAAGTGTCAGTGTGTAGGTACCAGTTTTACTGCAGGCCATAATCAGCAAGTAAACGAAAGTGCAAATGTCTAAAAAGTTTATAGCCTCCTATGAAGGCCTCGTCTTGTCAGCTATTGATTTAAGTTTGCAGAGGACTTTGCCAGTGTTAAACAAAGTGAGCGTTTGTGAACTTGGAGAACATGTTTTACTTCTGCCAACAAAAGTTGCCTCAAGCTAAATGTTAGCATGTCCTCGTTGCTTAAATATAAGGAAACGGTAGAAACTCTTTCTTACACAACTATTTTCTTCTTAAACAGAGGGCAGTCCAGAGTGAATGTTTCATATTCTCCACCTTCTCCACAAACGTGGACTCCATATTTCTCTGAAAGCTTTAAACAGAAAAGGAAAAAAAAAAGTGCATAGTTAAATATAAATAGCATTCCAGGTTTTRGAAACCAGGTTTCCAAAAACCAGGAAACTTTTTTGCTAAAAATTTGTGTGTACTTTTTAAAAGGCTGTACACTAAAACTCTGTAACCTCCCCCCCAAATATCAAACAGAAAGTTCTTAGTTTCTTTGTACAAAGTTTCATATTGATCAAAAAATTCCACTGTCTTATATTTTAAGTAAAAATAGCACTATAACATTCAGATACTTCTTCCATAATAGATAGGAAAGCCTGTAAAATTAAATATCCCTTTTCAGATTCACACATTTGACTATTTTTCAAGTCATAGGTCGTTTGCTTCTGTGAAAAAATTGTACTGGAAATTGATAYCAAAAGCAGTACTTTTGGTATTAACAGTGGTATGCAACAAAATTTCTGGCAATAGATTTACAACCGCATTCTGATTTTGGTTAGTACCCATTATTTCTAGAAATTCTATTAAACATAACCAACTRAAAATCAAACATCTAAAGAGAGATTTAAAGAAGGAAATATACTTCCACTAAAGGAGCGAGTAATGTTCCAAATCATGCAAATATACTGCCTAAATCAAAGTATATGTTTATAAATATTTCTGGAGTTTAATGCTTCATCTGGATATCTCATTAAGACAACTATATAAATCTAATACGTTAAATGTTAATAGAAGTAACTACCTTGATTATCTTGTACTTTAAAAGTGAGCACTGTGGGGCATTAACCAGGTTCTTCTACTCACTTAAGGAGTATAAGGCTGCTGAACAGTCATGAGCAATAGTGTATTAATGCAGCGCAGCCGTAAGCCCTAACCAAGCACTGGCAACGTGCCCCAGCACAGAAGCTCTCTTCCCTTTTCTGCAGGAGAAACTGCTCCCCTCACCAGCAGACTGCATCTCCTGCTAAAGAGGTCCAGCCCAGGGACACTTTACAAGCCCTGCCCAGGCTTCTGCTTGTGAAGAAAGCATCAATATTTTCCTTCAAGTGATGAGTAGCTGAACAGCAGCCCTGAACTCCCTTGCCAACAGCAATCTTACTATTGGGAATATTTATCCAGCTCCCGTATGCTTTCCCTCCAAGGCACAGATGCCCATCCATGGTGTCTCTGCACTTGAAGTAGCAATGTAGTTCTCAATAAGTGGGATATGGTTTAAAAAATAAATAGTCTGTCCAGAGTCTGGAAAATAATCCCATACTTGCCATTTTTCTACTTTCAGGCAAGGGCAACTAGACTGTTTTCATATTGCAGGTTCTATTCTTTATATTATCAGAAGATTTGTGTAGCATATCTATTTGATATATTCAAATAMAAATGTCCTTTTATTGCTAAAACTGAATGCATCCTTTGTGTTAAAACTTTTCAAAGAATGTGTTATTTTACAATTTTGAAAACTGTCAACAACTTAAAGCCATAGGCTTCYTTAGCTAAGAAACAAAAACTCCAAAAACAGGTATTAAAGTGGAAAATACATCTTAAAATCAAATAAATCAGATCTTCCATAAGGTCAAAAGACCAGCCCAAACATTACCTTAAGAACAGTCATTCCCTACCTTGACAATGAAACACCAGGATTAAAGCACACTTCTTCCACAGGAGTTTGCTTAGCAAAGACGGAAGATTTGAATTCAAGTCCTTGCTACTTCAAGTGAAGTGACAGAAGTACAGGCAAGTTTTACCATGACTGGTATCCGATACCCTACTCGAGAATCTTAGGGAGATTGTGAGCAGCCCCTGAGATTTGACAAATTACCAAAATCGTAAAGGTAAACAGCCAGGGTTCCTGGTATATATGAAATGAAGTCTATAATGGCAATTCAAGCATTTACAGCTCATTAAATCAATATAATTGTTCTATTTAGCAATTATTCATCAGTAATTAATCAAAGAGTTATCATTTAGAAAAAAAAAACTCAAGAACTTTCCTTGTCACAATGTCAGCGTCCTGAGCCAGGAAAGCTCAACCCTAAATTCATGGTCATCATTCTGTCCTTAACCTCATCCTTACACAGGATGTTAGGAGGTTTCTTTTGATAGGAAAAATACACAATTCAATTTTTYYCCCCCCCCCACTCAAAACTCCTTCATTTCTTTCCCCACTGCCATACCGGTAAAGCCATCTTACCTTTAATGATATCAATGATTCAATGATAATCATCTCTCGCTGAAACACGTGTATATAAAGTTTATATATAAAGTATATGCATTAAAGCAAATAAAAACACTGAAAAATTAGAGGGCAACCATTTTTCTAAATGAAATAATTCAGTGGRAGAAATTATATGCAGATTAGTAAAACAAATGACTTGGTATTGTCAATTGTTTAAGGCAAGTTTTTAACATGAAAGCAAGTAACTTCGTATGATCAGGTTCTAATTCCTGATCTTTAGCACTACGTTGAACTTCATGAATTCCCACAATAACGTACAGCAGGGTATTTCCAAACAATTACAGCCCTGTATCAAAGTCCCTTTTGTAATCAACTATGGCATTTTTCTGGGCATCAAAGGGATGATGAAATGATTTGTTTTTCAACATAACTGAAAAGCACATAGAACACTTTAAATTGCTTTTAGGGTGAATAAGAAGARTTCTCACAAATTTGAACTCTGTGTTAGGAAAACTGCTGTAAGGAAAAAATCCCTCACCTAGTGAAATAAACAACTACTTTGCAAATAACACTAGCTGTCAACTGAGAATCCACAGGAGAATCCTACAGAACAGGAAAAAGTATAAATTAGCAAAAAGAAGTTTTTTGTAAAATTCCATGATCTACCTATCATGATATTTTGAAATTGCCAGTTAGCTAATGTAACGCAAAATAAAGAAACCTAAGCATTTCCCTTCAGTTTGCAGTAAATAATTTGAGTTCATTAGGGTTTTATGTCTCCCAAGTATCCAGAAAAACAATTTATTTGTACCGACTTTGACTTTCAGAGCAAGTATATACACAACAAACAAGCATAGAAACAAGTAACAGTTGTGCAGTTTCCTTCATATTGTCCTGACACCTGGTTTCAATTAGGATGCAAATGTCCTGCTAACTCTACGCCTTGTGCTATTCAATCATTGTTTCATATATGAGGATATTAATAAGAGATTAAACTGCAAATGTGGGGTTTGAGAGGTATTAAACTTCAACATCAAGCTTCAGTTAAGCCAACTGACTCAAATTCACCTTTAGTTATTGAAAATATTCAATATCAATGGAGAATACCTTTATCTCTTCCAAAGTCAACTTCTTGAATGTCATAATTTATGATTTTCTTTTTTTAGGATGCATAATGGGGAAATTAAAATGGAGAACACTTCCTAATATCGTACTTACTGTAACCTATTAATATAATTAAAATTACCTCACTTGCTGCTATGGTTTAAAGAGAAACAAGACTACTGATCCAGAGGAGGTGAGCAGGTACCCACTCACAACCTCACTGAAGYTGCAACTTCATTTTCCTTCTCAAAGCTTCCGGTGAACTATAATTTTCTATTTTCAGTATATTTACCTAGTTCCATATAAACATTAGTAGATTCAAATGTCATTGTCCAATATAGAACTGAAATTACATTCAAGCTGATGATTTTGYTTCATCTGCTTTTCAGAAAACTATTATTTCATTATGACAATGTTTTATTATTTCCTTACGTGCCAGTTACAACAGAAACATTGCACACACTCAAGTGATCAACAGCACGACCTGTGTTTATTGTACTCATTGTATTCACAACTCCAAAGATCTTCCAAAAAACCTATATGTGAAATTACAATTCCACAACCATTTCTATAGTACACACAATAGGTGCCTTTGCACATCAATATATGTCACTTTTCCACTGTAAAGACAGAGAGATAATGCAGAGTTTTTTTGGCAAATTAAGTTTTTTTACAGGGASGAAAGGAAAAACAAACAAACAAAAAAAACCCACTTGCACACCAAAAATGTTTTCCTATCTTTCAACAGCAAAGGAAATTTTTTTAAATGTCTACCAAAGGCTGATTACTTTTGCAACGGTTAATTTATCATGTCTTTAATTGTTTCTGTAAAACTGCCTGTGAAGCCACTGACAAATTAATTACACAAAAGTAATTAGTGACAAAAAGTATTTTGTGTGTATAAATTTAGATTGTTTCACTGATAAAGATTAAAGTGCAGCTTTGTATATAGGTGCATAAAGCAAACGATCATGGCTTGCTAACTGGCTGGAGAACAAGGAACCGTGGTTACCATAAATTGACTCTGTCATGTAAAAATATGATCAGTTTCAGATCAGTTTCAATCTGCACTTATCTTGATGTTTGCCATTTCTACCTCAAACTTGAATAAAACTTGTGTAGACAAAAATTATTTTTTTTTTTTTTGCTTCTACTTACGTAATTTTTACTTAAATAAGTCCACAAGCTCTCCTTACAAGCCTTTATTTGCTTTGAGAATGGCAAAACTATTTGAACAGAATGAAGTACATCCTCAGAATTAAACATCTTCTGCATTTTTGGATAACTGTAGACAGCTGGACCATGTAAAGTATTGCAGAAAACCTTTAGGCGGAGATATCTGTATCACATACTTGTGTCATCTACAGTTTTGCCACACCCTCTCCTTTCTCTGAAGAAGTCTTTAATCTGCATATAGTTATTTAATTTTATCATATTTGCATTTAGATATTTATATTACATTGACAATTGCAACATTGCACTTGTGTATTCCTTAAGTAAAACTCACCTCCAAAAGCAAAGGCTCCATTTGATCCAGCCTTTTCCCTAGATGCTCATCTGGATCTAAACCTTAAAAAAAAAAAAAAAAAAAACACATTAAAATGTGTTCTACACAATTTAGTACTGTTTATGCATTAAGAAAATCTCTATTTTTATTGTTTGTAACATAAGCTACAAACTTTTTTTTGTTTGTAACATAAGTCTCCTTTAGAAGCTATTTCCACTATATCAAGAATCATTTTGATCCCAAAGAAAACGTAGTTGGACAGAATTCTCCCTTATAACTTTTGGGCAACTGGTTTCCCTGCTTGAGGAAAATGTGCCCCATTTCCTTTGCACTCTATCAACTGGAAAAAGTTATTGTTTTCTTTTCCTAGGCATTTCGTTAACCAATAAAGTAAACAGCCCCACAGCAATAAAAGTACTCCAYGGAAATTATCATCCTGTGTCAGAAGTTATCTTTGGGGATACATATTAAATTAAAATGCAGGTTAACCTCTTATGGCTGTGACACAAGACCCCAGTAACAAACTGCTGCACCTGATATGGGCTGTTTTCCCTAGTGAAAGCTCTTTCGCCAAGTCCCATTCTCTGTGTGTGACACATGCGATAAAGAAGAAAGGAGAGAGACATAAAGAAAGGTTATGGCTGTTGCATGGTCATTTGCAGGAATAAATCAAACAATTCCAGCAAGCAATATTAAAATAATACTAATTTAAAAAAATCCCACAGAGGTAGACCATCACCTTCATCAGCTAGCAGCAAACATCCTAGTTGGATATGAGATGAGATGGTCAAAAAGTCTTAACATTTGAAACAGCACAAAACAAACGACAACATCTGGAAACAAATTACAAKTGGAAAATTTTCAGGGGGGACGGGTGGAAATCAAATCCAAGCATCATATTCATTCTTTCACAACTTTCTTTGATATTGAGAAGGACACACCTACTGCTCCATCTTCAATGACTACAAAATAATAAAGAAACAATTACACAAACAGCATAAAAAATTCAGGTTGTGTATATTTAATATTGCCACAAACTACATAAAAGTATTACGAATGAACACAAATTGTGGATTGCTAAAGACATCAAGAAACCAAGGTTATCTGCAATTTGCAGACCCAGTAGTCCACAACTCAAATCTCTARTGGTATGCATTTTCAGATGAAGCCATATGTCTGCTGCTACAATCAGTATAATGAAATATCTATATCCATCCTTGCATAACAGCTAAATAAATCTAGGCTTTTGACATATTTTTCTTTAAACAAATGAGTAGATTGCTTCAGGTCCCTAAAATAGCCTAGATTTTTAAGTACTGTAAAGTTCTTCRAACATTCAGTATAACAACATCCTAYAGGTTCCTCCTCCATGAATCCAGCTCTAAGAAAGCTGGCTGGCTGGATAAACCAACAACAAGGCCCAGGGTCTGGAAGACTGTACATGGAATTAAGAACTTAATTAGGAAGAAGAACTATAATTTGCAGCACTGACATCTATTTTACTTTACTTGCATGTATCAACGGAAAGCAATTACAATTCAATTAATATACTCACTTTTATTACTTTACTGACTGACCTTGAAGTTAATGCCTGTTTTATTTAATTGCATCATCTATGAATAAATGTTAACCCTAGAATGTTATGCTCCATTATTTCTAACGCATTTTTTCAACTCTCAAACTGAATTACATCAGTCAATTTATTATGTGCTGTCCAAAACGCAAGTGGGGCTTTAAGACAGACCAGTACGTGATGAGAGAAACATCTTGAAAAACTTGATAATGCTGTTTTTAACAGTGCCCAGTAAACAGTCATGCTCTCATCTCAGCTTTCATGTCCTAGAGGTTTACTGTAAAAATCAGCATTCAATGGGACAAATGGCATGATCACTATGAACAGCAATTTCTATTCCTAGTGTAATTCCTGATTTTTCCCATCAACCGGCAGAGCAAACCTTCCTGCACCGAGCACCAGTGGCTGCACGACAAAATGATACAGCCTCAAGACAATTACTACGGAGAACTGCAGTAATAGAAAAAGACGGAGAAGGAATTCAGGGACTTCTTCTGTAGTGGAAAGCACACACACATTTCACTAATGTTAAGTTACAATGCAAAGGAAAAGGTATCTTGAATGGTTCGYTTTGTACACACGCACTCATGTAGCATAAGCCCTTGTGTAGCATAAGATATTTCTGTGCTTTGAAAAGTTCTAATGCTTTTATGCTTTGAAGAAAGGGTTTAAAAGTTGATTTAGTGGCAAAGAAAGAAAGAAAGAAGAATGTGTCTAGTGATAATATCTGCACTGGTGGTAAAATCTAAGCCACTTTCACTAAATTGACCCACATGCACACAAGTTATAAACCTTTAAACAGTCACAATTCACAAATGGACCAATAGAGACTTCTGAAAGAGGAAATGAGTAAACTAAATGAAGAAAGTAAGAGACAGGGACCAAGAAATAAAGGATCAGATTAGAATAAGACATCTGGTAAAAACTTCAGCTCCGAGTGAACCAGAGATGCTTTGCTCTCCAGACCCATTTGCTCAGACACACTTCGAGGGGTCTGAGATCAAGCTCTGCTTCAGCACAGGAACCTGCAGAGTGAGCATCAAGCAGCATCAAGCAATATTCTAGCATTAAACAAACACCACTTGTCCTTCTTGCTTTTCATGCTATTTTGTTTTCTTTCCCYGCCCCGGTACGTTCATTTTCCCTAGCTCTGATTAGTCCAGTGTATCTTAGCTCCAAGTTCTCTGACAATCCTTCTGTTATCAAATCCACTAGACCCTCTGCTGCTTTTTCACATGCGAAGCTTTTTCCAAAGCCTCATCTTCCACATATATCAAAGTACCACTGACTCATGTGCAAGCATTATGACAAAAAGCATTTCAAATGAAATGCAAAGATTCTTATCATTCCAACCTTTTAATTACCCTCTAAATCAGGACTTGCCTTCACTTAAATTCCACTTCTCACTTATATCTTTTGCATTGCAGCAGTCTTGAATCCCAAGCTAATTTTGGCTGACTTCTGATCTTGAATCTACTTTCCTGTTTTTCTATGTTGATAGAGGGGGGGGGGGAAAAAAAAAAAGAGGCCTAGAGTTAAAAAATAACTCCTGTGGTTTCATACTTGCTATCAAATCCTTTCATATTATGCCTGGTGAACAAATAGATGTGATACCTTTTCATTTACTTTTCTATGAATAATGTAGCTAAATAAACTAGTAAATAAACAAATATTGATTAGAGAAACAGCTTTTAAAAGCACTCAGCACCAGAAAATAGAAACAAATTATAAAAAAACATGATTTCTATTCCATTGCATAAACGATGTTTTCAGGTAAAACTCTAAATGCTCTAATATCCACCAATTTTACTTCAAGATATGGTCCAGGTTAGAGCCAGCCCAGTGCAGTGGGCATTCCATTGGGGCAGTCTGCCTCTCCATGTGGCCAACAGGGAAATAGGATCAACGAGGGCCAACAGCATCTCACAATTTAGGCTTCCATGACCCTGTTTTTCCCTCTATCCAAAGGTGAGGACGCAGACTGCCTGGAAACACTCATGCAGCTGGACCCAAGATACACATGATGTAGCCAAGGTGTAAGAATCACACTTCAAAATGTAGGTCGAGCACCAAAAGCTGATCAGCTCTAACACGTAGTTGAACAGTTTTGTAGCATAACTTTTCTTCTGTGGTCTAAAGAAGGGCTAGAAGTTAGAAGCACAATTTATTACTACAGTTTTTCCGTTTCATCTTAATATTTCTATTATGTGACCTCACAATTACAGCTTATTTGAAGTTTTTAATTCAAAATGCTTCATTACTATTCTCTAAACAAACTGAGAGAAACTGCAACGTATGAACCAACTAGTGCACGTTAATCCCTTAAAATTCCTTAAATCATAGAATCTTTGGCCTAATATTCCGATTTTGATTAAAAGTAGTATTTTTTTTTTCCAATTGCTCAAGCAAACAATAATAAAGATGAACATGAATTTAAAACAGGTAAAAAAAGATAGGATCTCTGAGGACAAGTCCCTTAATAACACAATGTAAAAATAATTTAAATTATACTAACAGATTGAATTTAGTCATAAGTTAAAATGTATAAGTTATAATCCAATATTAATTCTTGACTCCACAAGATTTAGGTACTAGTAACAAGTGCAAATAAGTAAAAACCCGTGTTCTATTTTTACTGAGGAGCATGCCGTGGAAAACACAAAGGTTCCTTCCAAATGTACCCTTTACAACCAGTGCCGCAGTGCAGTTTGTTTTAAAATCTTGTATCTGTGAGACCAATGTACACGGCTTCCAAGATTAAAAGTTGAATCAGTTATACCCAGATTCTCATGTTCTTCTGCAAGTTAATTAATATTATGATCCATACATAGAACATATTTATAGAAATGGATATCAAAACCATATCTTAAAATTATGTTATATTATACCATCTCCCACGAGACATGGATATTATTAGACTTTCACACACCCCTACRTTAAAGGCAACCATCTATTTTAGCTATTACTTGATAACCACATCCTAATTTTATCACAGATCCAGTGAAGAGGAATATATTTCAAGTACGAAGACATTGTGCATCAAACAGACATCTTTAGCAGCATAAAAGTGCCAAAGATGAATATTAATAATATATTTTATTTCTCAGTTTTGCTGCTAGATCATGGTAGGCTTCTCATAGACACTCTAAATAAAAGGCTGATCTACTTGCAAGATCAGCAGAAGGCAGGTGAAGAAGGGTTCCTACAAATACACCTTTTGCATATGAGAGAGCAATTGGCATCCCAGTTCACRAAGCATGCTTCTCAGAGAAAACTGTTGCCACTGGCCAAGTTTATAGTATTAATTTGTAACGGTGGATTTAGGGGAAACRTACTAACTAATGCTCACTTACTTGCATAATTATGTGTTTTCTACATAAAAAGGCAAGCTTTTACCTTGCCAATACTGGCACTCACTTAATGGAAAACAGGCCAAGGCAAGTGCACAAGTATGCCAGCGCTGATGAATGTCAAGCTCAAGTTACAGACTTGTTTCTTGCTTTAACATCTGTACAATATACCATCTAAYGCACTGCCCTTTAGACCATTAAATCTGTTATGTTAAATATTTTCATTGCAGCTTAGCTTTGATTATCAATCCAAAAGGCAAAAAGTTAACCTATAGCTTAGCTTTTTTGCCACTTGATATGCTAAACAATCTTCATACCTTAAATCTGCTTTAATAAGGCATGCAATTATTAAAGCATTACAGAATGGCCCCAGAGCACATAAGCTCCATTAAATTTGCTTACATCTAATTACGTCTGCCTAAGGCAGGTGAGAAATTGACTCTGATAAGATCTCTCTTTTACCTGTAGCCAAAAAAAAAGAAGGGAAGAAAAAGGGAAAAGAGAGTCTTGCAGTGATTTTCTACCTAATAGCTGTCTACAAGTATTTATGGTATTTGCTCCTTAAATGAACAGCCCACAAAGCGTTCTTTGTGCATCAACTAGTGCATTTTAAGGTTTAAGCCTGTAGAATTACAGAAGACAAGCTTATCTTCCTTTCTGGATGAGTGAGGCCATCACTGATGTCTGCTCATGAAACAGTTTTATCTATCATATCATCTGCATCTTATATGTTCTTTAAAATACTTCAAACAAACTTTGTTCTTACTAAATGTTGAATAATTGCAAATATAATTATGGAAAAAAATAACAAGAAAAACAAATGAAACTATTTTGATGGCAAAATAATGCAGTTTGGAAAAACATGCTACATGTGTTTGTGGACTTTTTCTTCTTCTGTTAACATAAGCAATGTAAGCAAAATCCTTACTCTTTGAAAATAAAAAGATGCCACTTGCAAATTTTATTCTATTATGAGTTATTTTCTTCTTCCAATTTAAGAAAGAACTGTTGTAGAGAAGAACATGCAGCAGTTTATTCTCCTGTACTAATAACTAGCTCTCCCAAAATAAAACACTATTAAAATTACACTGCTTGCAATCTGCAAGTGAATGATGAAATTTGACTTTTCCAATCATTCTCTGCTCATGAGAGCAAAAAGTAAAACGAATTAAGTAGTCATGTGATGAATTCATACRAAGTCCGAACAGCTATATTCATTTCTTGGCTAATACTTAAGTACAGTAACTTAAGTAAGTATAGTCTTCACTATAAAGCAAGCTTTAAAGAAGAAAGGACAGACATTGAGAATGCAATGTGAAAGTTGCACAAATAAGCTAGTCAGACTTTTAATGCAAGGTTACACAACAATTTTTCAGGTAAACATCTWTGGCCATCCAAGTATCTTGTATTATACTAGCCATTTTTTGGTCTAATGAGCCAAAAATACTTGATAGTCATTTCCCCCACTCTTACCCACCTAATGGTCCTTTGGTCACATTTTATAACCTGAAACCTCATCTGATACTCTTAAATGAAAAACTACATAGAGGCTTGAAATGATACATTGCAATGTATCAATATATTGTAAATATTGATAACCTGTTTCTTACATGCTTCTCAGGGCTACAGAGCACATCATTCAACAAGCCTTTCCATAAAAACCAGATTTTACCTTGAAAAATAGTCTATTAGTTTGTCTAATGATTTGCTTCATTATAAAAATCTCATTTTAAACATTTACTAATAAAAGGACATGTTGATTCTGAGCTCTGATATACTAACCAATTACACTGCAATATTCTCTATAGAAATCAACAAAGAAATATTACTCTCTACCAAATGAAAAGATTGTTGTTATGCAAAATGTTTTGGTCTGCCATAATTACATCTTGTTTGACCTAAATTCATTAGGCTTGTTGGGTTAATTTTTAATTTAAGGTAATATAATGTAACATAATGTAGTTTAATTGTAAATTTGTTAGGTTTCTATTAAAACTTTCGCAGTTGTTTTATAATTTTGTCTAGCCACCAGTTTGTATCATCTATAAATGACAATACTGTGAACTTCTGAATTATGCATGCGTTTTTACCAAGAATCAAAACCAAATCAAAACAAAAGACTTACTGAAGGAATTTAATGACTACGCTAGGAAGAATTATGTTACTACTTCCAGATTTTCAGTGTCTACACTGAAAAAAGTAAGAAATACATACAGGTAAAATGATTATTCGAACATCATGACTGTCATATAGCTGTTTACAATTCTCTTAAAAAAATAATCATGTGCACGCTATCATTTCTAATTCTAAAAAATAAAGCAAAACGTTTCCTCTCAGATGCTCTATGGACTTGTTCACTGAAGTTTTAACCCACAATACTGTTCAGAAACTGGATACATACCAAGAGCTGCCACTTTTATGATTATGGCTTGAATGTTGGATGATATCATTTCTTTAAGTAAAATTTCCTGGTTCCGGCGCCAAAGATAAGCTAACGGCTGAAGATTAAGCCTTCTGCATCTTCAAAGCAACAAAAGAAAGTTGAAGGAAAGCCAAAACAAAGCCTTTACACAGCACAATTCATTCAAAACTAAAGAAATTTGTCTGATTTCCTACTATTAAGCATTTTTCTATAATTTCAATTAAAATATTTTCCTAGATTTCACTATACACAGTCTAACATAACTTAACAGGGATAAAGTTTACTATGCCTATAATTCACCTATGTAAGCTGCAACTCACTCGTATAAATAGAATTGCATAGAAATAAAATGAGGAAAATCCATCTCCAGATCTTTAGAAACACAAACTCATCAACTGCTTAGGTGGTGATCAATTTTTATACACACAGTTAAAGGCAAGAGTTAGCACTCTAAGTTACAAGCATAACAGATCACCAGTGCAATATGCTGAATGTTGCACTTAGCAAACCTGTGATTAGTATCAACACCCAAGAAAAGGACAGCTCAACARAAAGTGTGCAGTTTGTGAAGTAACAACTTGATAATGACAATTTGATGATTCAGTTTAATACAAAATTTACACAATATTTGATATATAGCTTTTAATTATTTATCATATTAGAGCATGCTAATTTACACTATTGAAATGCAGTTCTACTGCAAATTGTCAAGAAACATAAATTGACGATAGAATACAGATTTAAATTCCTAGGTCAGATCACTCACATATATCACATTAAATGGGAATTGACAAATGTTTATCTAATACATGCAATTTCTCATTAAATAATCAACAGGATTTTGCAAATGGGTGCTTACAGCTAACACCTAAATACATATTTAGAACCCACACAATTTCACTCATTTTGCTATCACTCTTGTATATTTTAACAAAGCACTCAGTTGTAAAATTAACAAATATTTAATAACTTTGATCAGGTTAATTCATTTAGGTGCCCATCTTTACCAAATTAGCTGAATCCATATAGTCAGGATGCATTAGGTCTCAGATCTTCTTTGCAAGAGGTAATTTTCAGATCAATGTCAATTTTTACCAGAGTGCCCTTGCAACTAACCAGGTCAGTTGGCAACACTGTGACTTGCCACCAATCTTTGGGCTTTGCTAACAGATCTAAGACTCACAATCAGCAAAAATAATCCTTTTAAAAATATCTAGTAACATAACCAAGCATTTATTCACATGTCCAATTCTTTCAAGATTTCAACGTGTACATTAGGCCTAGGAGAAAGAGGCTATTTCTAACTGAAGTTTACCTYTGTAAGATGAAAAGGAAACACCCCTCAGATAGAACTCATTGATGGGAGTAGAGTTAGCATCAATTTCAACATTGCGGCAATTCATGAAATATTTGAGATTTTTTTTATTCCATTATCAACAGATAATGGATGAACTCTAATCATCAAGCTGTTTTTCATTTTTGCATTTCATCAGATGTAATGACTTTTTTCCAAATTCAAATCAAATCTGGGCCTACATAACACAGAATTCCAACCACTCGCTTAACAAGACTCTTAGACTTAAGGAAGAGAGAAATGAGAAACCAAAGTTCCTGACTATATTATTTCTGTAATAGATTTTACAGAATGTCATTTAACTCCTGATAACGAGTCACAAGTTTGGTAGATTCAGTTGATAACTGGAATGGAGAAAGAATAACTGGATTCAGCAGTACTATGTAATAAAGAAATATTTTCTTACACATGTTCTACTCGAATTCGCTGGTAATCAGAAAGAATGGCTCCCACAGAGACACCYTCCACTCGTTCCTTCTCCTGAAAAAATATAGGGAATAAGAAAGTTGACGTTATATGCTAGTTTAAACAATTCTACTAATTCTATTATGGGACCAACTTAGAAGTTCTGTGACATACATCTGGAATACAGATCTTGCACAGGATAGAGCAGTGCAGCCACCTACTATATGATTATTGCTTTAATACAGTAATCTACTTGATTCTAGTATCACTCTACAGAACAGCCACTGTAACTGGAAAATATCARATTTAACAGCTTATTCCAGAGCATTCCTGACAGACTGAAAATTAATTCCAGTTCTCTGCATCTGAAATATCAATTATGCCACCTGCAAGTAAATAATAACAACATAAAATCGCCACTGTGATTCTGTGACCATACTTGTATAATTGTATATATGCTACAGTGTATATATGCCATGAATGGGTGTTGAGATTACTATCCTAACCTCAGAGAAAGTGACAATTTCTGGCAACTTAAGTTCTGCTAAAAAAAAGTTTTCCAAACCACAATCTCTTTGCATTAGTGTTTTCATTTCACTTAAATAAGCCATCAATTCATTATTTTTCTTTTAGATACATTGAGAATACAACATTTGAATCTTAAAATATTTCATGGATTGTTGGTGGGTTTTTGTTTTTAAAAGCTTAAGTCACAAGAAACATTCTGCATTTACTTTCTTAAGATTTACTCTCATTAGACTATAGTTATGGTCAACTTTTTTTAAACAAGGTTGACTGTAACTATGGAGGAAGATCTACTTTCTGAAGCTGCTCAGCAATCCTGTTATGTTTGTAGCAAGGCTGTACTAGAATATTTTACCTATATACTTAGTTATGTATTTCAAAATTAAACTAGGCCTTCCGTGCAGTGGGACTGAATTGAAAATTTATCTTTGGTTTCTGGTCAGTAAAATATTGCAAAAAGTATTTTCTTCATAATTATCTTGTAGTGAACAACTTCCTATTTTATATCTATGCTGGACTATTCTATAATATCTTTACATTAGTTCTCAAATTTCACCAAATTCAGAAGTCAGTTATATCTACTTGTACTTCTCAGTTAAGACTATTTACCAAAATTTCYAGCTAAAATATAGCAAATTTGATAATTGTTAAATTTATGTACATCTTCACATTACTAATAGATATATTATAACACCAAAATCAATGCCAAATCTGACAGAATTCAAATATTCTGAAGAACACTGATACAAATTTATTTTARCTTATCTATTGCTATGTTATCAACTTCCCTGTTTTCACTTACTACTATGCAGCCAATGCTACTTTTGTTTCCCTTGGAGTTACCTGTGCAACAAAGTTTCAAAGCTCTTCCCCAAGTAAAAGGAATCAGACATTGCATTTCCCTCAGCTCTCCAATAGAGTATTATATTAAAAAAAAAAAAAAAGTTATCAGATGTATGTAACTAGAAGTTTCATTAAACAGATTCTATTTCAAAATAATTAACGGAGTCTCCTTGGGTCTTCCAATATACCTAAAAGGTTTCCCACATACTTTGTTCCATGGAATTTTGGCAGGCAGTTTCCCTATAGTGCTCTCAGCATCTTTTGCATTTGTATTCTACTCATAGGTCTAAAGTTCTTTTTAAAAATTATACATTTGAAACCCATAATAAACCTGTAAAGCACAACAGCTAATGTTTGTTCATATTTTTATGTAAAAAGACAAAAAAAATCACTTCTACTAGAATTACTGGCTCATAAAGCAATTTGCAATGTGCAAGTACCGCAGTTTAAATAAATGAACTGTGAAACAGTATGAGCTCACCTGACCATTGTAACTGTGCCTTTCTATCCTCTATAAAATACCACTATATTCATGACTCACCRAATGAAGTAGGCAGGACACTACCCTAAAAAAATACAACTTAGGTCTTCGCTTGTWACAAGTCCTTCATTGACATATATTCAATTATTTTGGGAAAATTATCTGCTCCCTGGTTAAATGAAATGCAACTGGCTTCCRTTAGCTGGTGTTCTCTAAGTATTCCAGTACCTGTCTTGGGAGGCATTAGACTTAAATTGAGTAAACTATCCAGCCAAAAAAAAAAATTCAGTGACACATTTAGAAGATGCTGAGGTGCAGCAGGACCAGTCTAGGACCATTTGGACTGAGTTTGATTTTGGTTTGGACTACAGCCTGGCACCTGCACGCAGACCAGTTTGCTCTGCACCTCCTAGAACCTACTGGCACTTCAGAGAGGCCCCCAGGAAAGCTCCTTTTCCAGGAAAGATGATAGAGTTTCCTCAACTGTTGTTATCGTTTCAATAGATAATAAAAGGTCATTATTCACACTATTCCATATTCATCCAAAACTTAGACAAGACTCTTGGAAAGTCAGTTCCCCACGGTCTGTTGCCCACCACCAGTAATTATAACCAGCAAGATTTCACTATAGGTTAAATTTTGCCTGCTTCAATCTACATGGCTATGCAAGGTTAAAAAAAGTGTCACACAACCAATTAATACTAAAATATTTTTGTGTACATGTAATTATATTTATATAGTTATGCTACAGACACCAATTTCAGTTTACTTCGTAGGGCTTTTTTATAGGTCGCAAGTCCATCTCACAAATCCCTATTAACACACACTATGTAATTCTGAATATTCCTACAGTCCTCTGCTATTTATGACGCAAAGATAAACACCCTCTTTTATCTATGAAACTTTCAACCCTCAACCTTCCATCACGGTTGTGACCAGCACAATCACCTCTTGGAGGTACAGTGGGAATCAAATCACTTCACTCTAAAATTACAGAGAATTGTGGACAGCAGACTGATCCACAAATCAGTCCTAAAATACATTAATTCTACTAGTGATGTATTTCAGAAAGAATAGGTAGAAATTTATTTATGACACACTATTCGCACTAAAGTGTAGTGAATATATTTAACAGGTAATTTAACAGGTAAGAATAGGATGAATACCCTTGATTAATATCCCGTAAGATTAACAAAAAAGGCTTTGTTAAAAACAAGTGCACTTTAAAAGCATTCTATAAAAGAGTCTCTCCCCACTCACAAATTAAAAGATTAAGAAACTCTGAGAACAAGCTTAAGCAATGCAACTAATTTCTGCAGTGAAGTTTCCTCTTAGAGCTCTGAATTTTACCCTTTGGCAAATGTCAGTGTCCGCCACAGCGCCTCGGGGAGCTCTGTGATCTTCCAGGCTAGGAAAATAAACGGAGGTGACAACACTTTGGAATTACCTACATTTAAGAACTCAGCTGGAAAGGTCTYATTTAAAATATTTCCCTAATGCAAAAGGTTTAAAGGTTTTACTGAATATTATTAGTAGTAAAATTGTCAATATAGCTAGTAAAGGTCTTGAGTAAGGAACTCCAGTTAACATATTTAGTGTGGGGCTGGCAGGCTGACATCTGCAAACTAAACACCAACTACCTGCAGTTAATGAAGAATTTGGGAAAATTGTGGGAGAAAGCTGCTCAGTAACAYGGAAGGCTTCCTCCCCCTCAATTTTATTAAGGAAATATAAAAATTCTTAAGCGATCTCTTTAACAAACAACTTAATCTATGCAACACTACTAATGCTTTGCTAATGTAATGAATTATACTAAAATAAAAAAACTACTCCTACTTTAGTACTTTTAGACTATACACAAAACATTCTTCCCATTGTGGTATCAATATACTTCCCAGTATAAAAATTGAGGTGTGTATAATGCATATAGTCAGAGACTCAATATGGATATTTACAAGATACTAACTACTTTTTACKTTCAGTAAGACCTTTAAAAATTAGTCATTTTAAAAGGCAGACTTAAAAACGAAGTTTTTTAAAAAGTACCTAAATAATACAAAATTCTGAACAGTATTTTTAATAAAAAAACAGTTACTGTTTTAACTGAGTGAATTATTAGATTTTCTTGTTAGAATCATTWACACATTCCTACTCATAACATTCATGAGGAATGATCATCATGAAGAACTGTGGTGGAAAAACAAACAGATCTGTGCAACTTCAAAATGATATTATTTTAAAACAGTGCAACAAATACCACAATTCAAATTTATTGCTCTACTCATATCAGACAAGCAAATGGTTCAAAGTGTTTATATAACATACATACATAATATTGACAGAGTGGTACATAGCTTATACAAAAGATAAGCAGAACCTTAGAAGCAATATGTTTGAGCAGCATGATTTTAAATTTGCCTCCTCCCACTTCACTTCCTCCTCTGGCCTCTATTCAGTGATTGATATTCAATTAAAGAGTGATAATAATTTGAGCAAAAGGTCTAAATACAGGTTTTAACATACCATTCTGGCAGAAGGATTCTAATAGCAAGCAAAATATTTATCACAGAGATATGAGTACAGGAGTTTTGTTTAATTTCACATTTTAACATCTCTACCTGACCCTCTCAGAGTTCAAAAAAAAGAAGATTAGTGATAATGCTTTCAATTTAATTACTTTATTACATGCACTGTAATTATTAGTGCGAAATGTTACATTAATGAATATAAAAGTTAGCAGTAAATTACCTCGTAGTTATTATCAATTTCCCAAGCTACTGCTCCTTAAGATAACCCTCTCCCTATGGTCCTTCCGGTAATTTTTCTTTGGCTGATAAACATGATGATTAAACAGCACACAGTGCAAACCTTTGATACTTTTTAAATTAAATCCATGCTGAGCCTAAGGGCTGTGTCTGATTTCAACTAAATATGTCAGTTAATCAGATAAAAAATTATCAGTAGCCCAAAGAAACAGCAGCCTTAGGCCTCATCAGTGCCAGCAAAAGCTGAACAAAATAAGACATACAGACAATATCACATTATGAGTAAAGGTTACTGCTAAGCATATAACTGCACCCAACGACTCACCACYTTAAGCAGCAAATAAAGAAACATTGCATACAACAGTCAAAATATTAACAAAGAAGAAAAGCAAAGGGTTAGGCTACCATATATGCCTGTACCCATGCTTTAAAAGAAAAAGTAAACATTCAATTTAGAAAAATGCAGAATATTCTCCAAAATCCAAGGAAAGGTTAGGCTATCTTTACTTCTTTAGCAATTCTTTAACAATTTTGCCAAAACAGAGTTCATTTGATGGCAAAGATAATATGTAGGGATAATCTAGTTTTTAAATCATCCTTTCAGTTAATATCTTCCTTGACCCTTACATTAGCTAGTGTTTTGTTGCATTAAGCAGAACTGCTACACATGCCTAAATTAAAGCTTAAGACCAACTGTGTCTGGAAAATGATTACCGGTCATTTACAATGCTACCAATTAAAACACAAGATATGTGCAGGTATGTGATGTGACACATGCTAGTAACCAAACTTCTGCAATTGAATAGTAATATCTTACATGCGATTACTTCATCATAATTTATGAAGCTTTCTACAATCACTGATTACACACTCCTGAAACACAGTGTGYGATTTTGAAAGCTTTGATAGGCTGGGGCATCAGCAAGAAACAGAAGACACCGCGCAACCGTCTTCGCGATAGGCGAGAAGCAGCAATTGAGAGAAGTCCACTGTCGGCTAGGCCTCAGAACAGGCCTCAATATCCCTAAAAGGTAGCAGAAAAAAAAAGAAAGAAAAAAAGAAAAACTTATTAATCTATTCCTTTGAGCGTAGGCATTGCTGCTGTCATGATGCTCACAATTTTTGTTATTTTGAAAACTGAAGGCCAGTGTCCATAACTGAATTTATTCCCTAGGTAAAAAACTCCCATGGCATTCAGAAGGCAGGCAGCAGAACTCCCAAGGGGAACGGGATGCCAAATTCAGAAGAGAGCAAGTTGAATATTTCCATTAAAAGAATTTTTTTTTTTTTTAAATAGTCACATTGCTCATCTGAGACAGCAGCAATGAATCAGCAGTGAGGGGTAAGGGAGAAAAGTAACTTCTTGAATCAACTTTGTCATCTAAGGAAAAAAGTGGGAAAATGCACATAATTAGATTAAACTGCTTGTATAGTTTGATGTTACAACAGATCTCTTGAGAGGAAAAATTAATTAGCACCCCTAGAGCAGAAAAGGCATTTGTATAGGCAAAGAAGACAAACTGGTAGTTTCCGTGAACATAGGAAGAAAAGTGATCTCAGCACCAGTTTAACAGGACAAGGATAAGGAGGAAGAAAGAACATGAAAGGAAGGTTCCCATCAAGATCATGATTTTACTATCTTGTAGGAAAAAAAAAAAAATCCAACATAGGCAACTCATTTTGTAAAGAACCAGGTAAGCTCTTGTCTGAAATCAAGTTTGGGAGATCAAAGAAGAAACAGCTGCTTTCTGAAAAAACATTCTCCTGCTCTCACAGCTACACTGACAACAGCAACTCTACTACTGCATCACATAGATGTCAATACGAAGAGATCTGCAATAGAAATAACACAATGTAGGAGTGTAAAAAGCCAAACAGTCATATCCAACTACTAAATCATATTCTCTGGCAGACTCCTCATCTAAAACTCTCAAACTTAGCATGTCTTGCACATCTTACACTATAATGCAGAAAGACTTCAGAAAGACAGAATATATTTGAGAACACAACTGAATACATCTATATCCTGATATAGCCAAAAAAAAAAAAAAAAAAAAAAGTGCTGTAGTCCTGAAGCTTTGCTAACTATCCCCAGAACAACCTTTATGCATCAGAAGTGCACCACGTCCACTGTCCCACAGCAAGGCAAGGGAGAAGATACCATCAGGTCACAAATAAAACAAAGTATCCCCTACTTATTCCATGCTGGAATTTGGATGTTTCTCCAACTCTACCCCCAATTTCTTCCAATTCAAAAGAGTTATCCTATCTCCAATGCGCCAACCTTATAGAAAGTAAAATCTCATGAGCTATCCCACAGCAAAGAAAATCTCACCTTGGGCTACTAGATCATTTACTTAAATATTTCAGCTTTTGTACTCTATTTAAGAGTGCTGCCTATCCTTCCTTAAACGGAAAAGGAATTGCTATAAAATCTCCAAGACAGAGAATACCTGGGCTAGGGAACTCACCACATATATAGTATCTCATGGAGCCATGGGATGGAAGTAATTCAAAGTGGGGGGATGAATCTAACAGAGATCCACATCAATCTAAGAGATCCACATCAAATCCCTGCGCAAATGTTCTCGCTACGAACAGCAGTAGCCTTAAATGCATTTAGCTTAACACATTTTAATTTGTAATTGTGTAGGTATATATGCCAACACACATATATGTATTTTAAATATATATATATATATGTGAAAGGAGATGATATAGCTTAACTTATGCACTTAAAAAGCTAATTCAAACTGATTTTTATGAATGCCATGGATATGGCCCAGAGACAAAACTGCTTTTAAGTATAACTGAAAACATAACTTTTACAAATACATTAATGAAACGTTGCATAAACACAGACAGGAATAAACTACTCAGTAGAGGGGAGTATTCATCAGATCCCAGGCACAGCTTTCACTATCTAATGGCAAAGTTATAACAACATTAATTGCTATATGGCCCTCTTGCCACCTGAAAACTCCAAAGTTTGGGAGAGACTCTGCGGGTGTGTTTGGAAACACATGAGCATGTGCCTATACCACTATAAATGAGAGAGTGAAATAGCATGCTAAAAATCTAGTATCATATAGAAATACTGCTCTTAGAAAGCAGTAAAATTGTGTCATAAATGGTAGTGATATAAATTCAGAAAAGTCTTTCACTATAGTAAACTCATCACACTAACTGTAATTTTACTGATATACTGTAAATGCAACTGGAAAAAAGTGAAGAATCAGTTTAAGCAATCAGAATCACWCAATTTTTTTAATATTTCATGTATTAAGCATTTTCATAGATAAGAAATAAGTAGCTTTGAATAAAGAGCTTTTTAAATAGCTATCATAACACTTTAAAGAAAAAATATATTTTTCAATTTAGTTTTACTTTTAGATTTATTTTTACAATAAAAATATACATTATCAGTAAATAGCACATTTATAGTTTAGTAAAGCTAGCTAAAGCTATCACAGAAAAACTAAAATATGAAATCCAGATACTGACTTGCTAGATATAGAAACAGTTAATGAAGAACCTTTCTATAGAAAAGTAAAGGTTTTGTTTATATAAACCAACTGAACATACATGAAGCCTCTGCACAAAGAAGAGAAAGAGCAAAATCTGTCACAGAAACAACAGTCCATTGCTAAACAAAAATACAGAGATTTGGTTTCACATAAACGTCTGTTTCCCCTGTGGGACTTTCAACTGTGGATGCTCAGAAAATTAAAGAATAAACTTATCTACTGACACTTCTTTCAGGAAAAGTTATTTATAATACTACCTCCAATACCAACTGCTTAATTTRATAATCAAGTTTAGCACAAACGGTCAACTCCAGATTGAATGAAAGACATTACACCGTAAGGACCAAACGTCAGTGAACGCCTACTTGACACATTCGGTAACCATGCGCGTTGCTCATCTCATGCTGTATCAAAAATAGAAGTTTGTGATGAGGAACACAACTGTTCTGCAACCAACAGCAATTCTATCACTAGCCGTATCGTATGTGAAAGGTCTAGATCAAATTCTTAGGCACTTCTCAAACATTTATCTAGAAGTAACTTAAAAATTTTTAAAAATACATGTTAAGATTGCAGCCTCTATGATTATGGTTGGCTTCTTCAGAATCAAAAAAGACTATTTTATGAAAGTATCTATTGGCCTATATTATTATGTTCCAGATAACGTCTTCTTGCTGAAGACTAATCACTTGCTAAAGACTTTCTAAACATATATAGTGTTTTGTTTTTCCTCTCCTCTCAACAAGTTCCTGCCTTATGAATTCTGCTCTAACAGAAAGGATAGCCTGAAGAAAGGCAATATATCTCAAATATATCTCATTATAATATCTGAAACCAAGATATAAGATGCTGGAATGTCTTTATCAAACCACTGACATCACGGAAACAACTGTGCTGGAATTGCAGGCAAATGTGAAAGGCATACAGGGTTGCACAAACTCTGGCAGTAATCATCTCTCAAACGGTATAGTCACCTACAAAATAAAATAAGATCCCATCACATACTAAAGGATAAGAAACAGTCATGAAAAAAATACATGCTTACATGAAAACAAGCTATTTTGTCCATTTTTAACAAATCTTCTGTTCTTCCTTTGTAAAGAATGTAGCTATCTCAGGGCTAATAAAAGATTTTTATTTTACTAAAATCATCTCATTTATAATRAAGTAATGCAATATTCTTAAACTAAAATACCCTGGTCATTTTAACCCATTCTAAATCATGTAAGAATTTCAGAGAAAATAAGACAACTTTACTGGCACTGGTAAGTATGACAAGTAGATGAGTATGTTTATATATGCTTAGATAGCTTATTCTTCTATGYATGTTTGCTAAGAGCAACATTTTTCAAAACTGCATTTCATACTTATAATGTCCCATTTAACAGACATTTACACATAGATATGCATGTACTGTCATATCACTATTGAAATCTGATTACTTTAAAAGAAAGGTTAAAAATTTGTCAACTTGTARCACAGTAAGAGACAGAAAGTGCTTTTCTAATGACCTTAACATTGAAGAACAGTAAAAAACCCCMAAATCTCTGCTTCTTAAAGTATATTTCTTTGTAATACTAAGTATCCAKAGCTTTCAGTATTTACTGGGTAGAATTACTAAAAGAATTCACAAGCTATATGCACACCCACCAAAATTTATCTATCAGACTTACTATCACAGCATCTAGCCTTGAAGAAACAGTATCTGAAGCGTACCAGATAATAGCACACTGAAAGAAAATACTGCATTTTACAAGAGGAAATGAACTTCCATTTAGGGTTGACTGACATCCAGAATTATTCAATGCAGTATTTTAACAAGATATTGCATGTATTTTTCCCATGAGTGCACGACTAAATTTGCCAAGACCTACGCAAACACTGTCAAAAGTGTTCCTCACTACTTGCCTAAAATGTTAATCACATTCACATTGTCTGTACCCTATTCACTTTGACACACTTGAGTAAGCAATAACTAACCTGATATATAGCCATGAAAAAACAAAGCTGCAATCTCTTGAAAACAAAGCTGAGATTTCAACAGTGAATAAAAAGTCTGAAAATTCTTAACTCGGAATTTCAAAGAGCTGAGCCATGTTATCTCATAAAGTGGAAAAGCAATGCTTTATATAATTAATGCACAATTTATTGCACAAAAATATTGTGTCAACTATTTTTGAAACTGCCACAAAAAGAATCCATTAAAGTAAATGTCAAATAACTCTGATTAATAAATATAAAGTTTTTCCCTGTTCATGAGCAATTTATGAAAAGTAACAAAAATAATCCTGCTGCTTGCACTTCCTTCAAAATTAGAGAATTTTGGGATCAGAATATATCTCTTCTCAAAATGTTAYATTTTTGACATTTAATGCAAAACATGCTGTATTTTACAGAAGGACTTTAGCRCACTGGCATGATTTACTGAAATGCAGATTTATCAAGTAGCAGATGTCACCCACAATGGACAAACAACAATCAGCTGGCAGGAAAGCAG